CACCTGGCGGCGCTGAGCGTCTTCCAGTGGGTGCTCACCTTCCTCTTCTTCGGTAGGTGCTGCCGGACACCCCCTCCCCATAACCCCGCCCGCCGGGCTGCAGACTCCTCCGGGGCGCGTGGAGGCCTGGCCGGCCGGCCCTGCCAATGCTGCGGGGAGTCCTGAGAAGCGCGGCCACTTGGGGGGGGGGGGGGGGGGGGGGGGGGGGGCGGTGGAGGAGGAGGTGGTTTCTTGGGGGTGGAAAGCGCGGTCAGGGGGTAGCCCCACCTGATGGGTGGGGGCCTCACCGGGGCTTTCCAGGCAAGAGAGGCGTTGTGCCCCTGCCTGCCTGCCTGCCTGCCTGCCTGCCTGCTTCCCCATCTGTGACACGGGACTCCTCCCTTGGGGGTCTCCCTCCGCCCCCGACTCACCAGGGCTGCCCTGCCTCCCTCCTGCCCGGGGGCTGATGGGGATGTGGGGCCAGCTGGCCTGTCCAGGACCTTATCCTGGGGTTGCTGACCAGGTTTATTGCATTTTTATTGTAGGTCTTGGAGGTTTTTTTATTTTGAATGGTTATTCTCATTGAATTGTCATGTCTTATTTAAAACATTTATTGGCCACTTTTCTGCCTCGAGGAACTGAGGGTCACTTACAGTCTGAATCCGAGGAGGAGGAGGAGGAGGAGGAGGGGGAGCTCATATAAGACTGTGCCCTGTGTGCTGCTTGGCCTTCTTTGCCTCAATCTCCCCCCCCCCGCGCACGTTGCCCGTGGGGCTGACTGCCAGTGAAGGAGCACCCAAGGGCCCCCAGCCCAAGGAGACGTCCTCTGAGCGGGAGTCCTCCTGCCTCCCCTGCTGCCCCTCACCCCACCTCTGGCCTGCTGCTCTCCACAGGCATCTTCTTCACCAGCCTCCTCGTCGGCCTGCTCTTCACCTCCTACTGGCTTGTCACAGTCCTCTACTGTGTTTGGTGGATCTTTGACTGGGAGACCCCAGAGCGAGGTGAGTTCCCCCCCCCTTCACACGCACACGTCAGGATGCCAGGCCAAGAACAGCAACAACACCCGGGGAATGGGGGCTGCCAGATGGTGACCCCCGACACGGGGGGGAGGGCACCCCATCCATTGGTGGGCTGAGCTGCCTTGGCCCAGAGTATGTTTTGTCAGGTGCCAGGTGTGTTGCAGGCGAGGGCACAATCCACAGGCGGGCGGGCAGGTGGTTGCGAAAGGAGGTCAGTCAAGAGAAAGGCATGTGATGACGGGGCAGAGTCCCAGCGGCCAGAGCAACAGCGAGGCAAGAGAGCCAGGCGGGGGGGCGGACGGGCGGGGGGGACACGCCCAGCTGCACAGTCAGAGGAAGAGTTTGTGCAAACCTGGGCGGGCGAGGTGCCCCTGATCTCTCCGGAGTCAGCCGCCTCTGTCCCGTGCCAAGTGTCAGAGCTGCCTGTGAATGAGGACACAGCGGCTCTCGGCTGAGAGAGGGGGCGATTCTGGAGTCTGCCACTGTCATAGTCCGCTCCTGCCCTCCCCGCGGACTCCCTTGGCCAGAGACAGTCCCGCCTGGCTGGCTGGCTGGCTGACCCCCCAGAGGCAGAAGGGCCTCGCTGGCCCTGCTGGGGACACCTCCCGGAAGGTGCAGCTGAAGGAACCCCTGGAAGGGTGGCCCGTGATGGGACTGGGCCACTTTGCGTGCACTTGGGGGGGGGGAGTGTTGTTGACCCTCAAGTTTGCTGTT